CTCACACTGGTGTGTGTGTGTGTGTGTGTGTGTGTGTGTGTGTGTGTGTGTGCGCTCGCGCGTGCGTGTGATGCTCAGCCTGCGCCTGCGTGTGTGCGCGCATGTGATGCTCAGCCTGCGCCTGCGTGTGTGCGCACATAACACACATTTCTCATCATAGACGCTCAAGAGCGCAGACGGATACTGTGTTTGAATAATCAGCGTCCTAATACTGCATCATACGAGACATTATAGACCTCCTTGATTTTGATGGATGCATTGTGCTGATAATGATTTTTAAAAAGCTTGAACTGAATTTATAATTAGCCTATTTATACTTACCATTTCTAAATATTATAATAATAATAATAATAATAATAATAATATAAAGATATTGCACGAACACGGTGCATGTTGGTGTGAAGAATTAGAGGCACGACGAATCCCATGTTTGTGAGACATATTAGATGTGTTTGAGAAACTATTAGCTGACATGAAATTAACCTGGCATATAAAGTAGGCCTAGCTTAGTTTTAAACACGTTACATGTCGGGTAAATGTTCCCTCCCCCACCTATGGTTCAGATGTCAAAGCGCAGAGGTCTTGACCTTCTCGACAGTATTTAATAATTAACATAATACGACAATCAATAATTGTGACATAACCTTTTGAATCAGTATAAACAAAATAAAAATACATATCTCATTTTACATAACATTAATCCGTGTTCCATACTTTGCATGTAACTCTGTTGATAAGTTCGATATTACACAACATAAATAAATAAATAAATAAATTGGACCCTTTCTACAGCATTGGGGAAGTAGGCCTTAAGTAACCTCATTACATTTTCTCAGTGTTTACACAAACTGAGTTGACTGTGTCAGCCATTCATTCAGTTTTATTGATTTTGTCTGTTCTGTTTTAATGTCTATTTTATGTTTACTGCTAGAAAATTGCAAAATCACACAAACAAGGATTTTAAGATATGTATTTCCCAAATTTTAGTAACAGGGCTTGCAAACTCTATAGAAAATTTATGAAAAATAAAACAACTCCTATCAAAATAGTTTCACCTACTGACAGTCATACATTTTGAAGTGTAAGCAGTTCATTTCACTCACTATATGTTTTCATTTATTACGTTTTTTTTTACTGTCTTCTTTTTTTAACAGTTTTAGGACATATTTTGTGGAAAGTGCCATTTTTTAAATTATATATCCTACACTTTTTACAAGCAGGTACTTCAAATATTTGGTCAAAAGAAAAAAAAGGAAAGATCTGGGTTTTAACATTATCTGTAAATTGCCATTTTGTTATACTTTTCAAATCACATACATAGATTAAAAAAAATTATTTTACTTATACACAAAAAAAAAAGGTTTTAGCTTTGACCTATAGTCACGTGACTCCTAGCTACTCTTTGAGAATCAGGTGCCGCTGAGATTTTGGCCTTGTTTCAATATATTCCCAGGTAACTTACTTCAGAGCTTCCTGAAGACTTTGAAGTCTCTCAGAACATCTGGCCAGGTTGTATCTCATCCTCTCACCCTCCCTTTCTCAGTCCTTTCCCTTTTAACTCTCTTGTTGAGAGTACGACTTGTAAACTGCATCTGTCTCTCCACACTGTAAAAAATGACTGTGAATTTAACTGTAAATTGAAGTTAAAACCGTAAAACCTAAAACACTGCTACCGTATTTTTCACGGTCAAATTCCGGCAACCACAGCTGCCGGTTTTTTACCGTAAATTTTATGGAATTTTTTTTACAGTGTATGTACGGATAAGAGCTATGCAGAACTGTGAGTTCTTTTTTTAGGTATTCCAAAACATCATATCACTTTTATGATTTCATGATTGTTTTAGTGATTATTACAGCAGTAAATCTCTGCACTCTGAGGTTCCAAGAGAACACTGATGTGATTAAATCAGAGGTCAAATGTGGTTGTGACCATCTGCTTTTATTTTTTTCACAGATGCTGGAGATGTAGTAAAAAGGCAGATGAGGCTGGCCTTTAAATATCTCTCTCGCACATTGACAGACACTTACTGCAATGACAGGTCATTGGTCTGTACAGGCTGAGGTTTTACAAGCACAAGTTCCCGTTAATTAATTGCATCCCCTTCCCCCATTTCATTTAGGTCATTGTCCTAAGCTGTTAAAGCCATAAACAGACAGCTTAATCAATCAACATTCTCTTTTGTCATTTAGCAATGGCTTACACAATAGGAAATCTGTTTAGGGTAAAACGTTACATAAACTACCCCACTTCTGTGGAATCAGGTAATTATCCAATCCATTCATTGAAAATATTATGACGTTTAAGTTCGTTTTAAAGGGGGAAATAGAAATGGCAGGGTGGGTAGGTCTCTTTACACAGTCTGAAATGAAGGCTGGACACGCTCAGTGCTCAAAGAAAATCAAATATATTAAAGGACTGGAAGAGATGTGTACACTAAAGCTCCATCTCTATGAATACCGAGTGCCTGCATGAAGTTTGATTAGTTTGGCACTTTTTTCCAGTAGAACTTAAAAAGACTTTGAAAACGAGCAAATGTTTTAGGTTTTGAATTATGAAATATGATTTAAAGTCATCATAACCTTTACTAACTTATAGGTTCAATTTTCTGTAAAGCTGAATCAGTATTACAGAATATATTTTGTCAAATCTAATGGCTATTGACATAATATGCTGTAAACTGTTGTGAGAGTCCCAAATTAATAATTGCATTAAACAAGACTCAAAATAAAGTGAATCTAAGCACATGCTGCATTGCCTTTCAACATAATTTGTGGCTGTTTGTAAAAATGTCCACCATCGGGGTTCATTAATGTAAATAAAACCCATTTAGTGGTGTGTGAATGTCTCTGTCACGGTGCACACACACGAGGAACGAGGAGACGCTGGAGAATACTTTACCAAGACTTTATTTTCAGGAACCAAGGGAGACGAACTCAGGAAGACGTTTAACAGCGGACAGAGAACTTGGGACTGGGAACACTTTTTATACACACAGGAGGAGGGGATGACGAGACACACCTGGGAGCAATGAAACAACAAGGGAAACACCTGGGACAAATGAACTTAACTAATCAGGGGAGGAACAGGAAACTAACCAAATAAGGGCATGGGAAGGCACATGGGGAGCAGGACACACACAAAACATGGAACAGAGTCTGACATAACGCCCCCCTCCGGAAGGCGTGTCCTCACGCCATATAACATCCAATGGG